GCTTCAGGTAAAATATTCTCAAGTGTTCAGACATTTTCTAAAATCAGTAACTGATAAAATAGTGTTTTCTATCTTTTGCAAGTTAAAATTAAAAATGCATGACGTACAGAAATTCAGATATAAAGGTGGCATATGAAAGTCAATTCGTTGTAAAAATCAGTGGCTCTTGATTAGATTATGTTCGAAGAGGATTTTTAGGGACATTAGCAAAGGTGTTGACTTAATCTTTTCTTCTGCTTGAAGAAATCTAATCATTCACTAAATCTAATCATTAGCACCTTTGAAGACCTCTGAAATGTAATCACTTAGAAGAAATGGGTGTGGTCTTTAGAGACTCAATATAAGGAGACTGAGGGAGCCAAGCTCATTCTCATCCAGAACAGAGAGTGTGTTTGGAACTCCCCTGTCTGGGAGACTTCTGAAAATTCTCACACCTGGAAGGCTTAATCTCGGAGCTGACTTCATATTACTACTTCTAGAGCAAGCTTTGGTGAGTTTTAATTTATCAGCAAACTGTGATTGTTTCTATGAAATTTGCCAATTGAAAATGAGTCCATTCCTGTTTTGGCACCCTTCTCGGTATGCGTGTTGAAATTAGTACAATGATTAATTTTTGTTCTCTTGTTTTACGTTTCCCTTAATTGTTGCTATGTATTATAAGGACTCAGAAAGTAATTGCCAGATATCTTATAGTTTCATACATGTTGTAGATCCTAAAAATTTTTTAGGAGTGTTTGATTCTATATGCAGTATACTTTACAGTCTACGTAAATGTAGTGCATACCTCTAGACATAATATTCTATAATATTTACCTAGATAGTGCATCAATGATTTGAGTAAAATATTGTTAAATAGTTCAATATTCACTTTTAAAGTGAAGTAAATGTCTCTTAAGAAACGTGAGTTTTCTGACTTAAATTTTAAATTCAGGACAGTCTAGTGGTAATTATCAAAATCTTATATACACATATCCTTTAACCTAGTAACATCATTTCTAGAAATCTTCCCAAAGGGATTTCTCAGAATTGAGAATATACCTAAAGGATGTATTTTGTAGTATTTTCTGTAGCTGAATAAATAGAAAATAACTTAAATGTTCTGAAATGTGAAGTATTATTTAATAAGATATACTATATATTATTAACCTGATTTTTGATAATATTCTGTAATCACTTGTTTATTTCATAATATTTTTTATGTTTTCAACTAATGAATTTTAATATTCTAAAACAAATGCTTCCACATGACAAGAAATGCCATTGCAAGACAATTCACAGCACTGAAAGATATCAAATTTAAAATATAATCTCATTGATGTCAGTCAAATTCACAATGAGTGATTTAGAGGCCAAAATTTCATTCTTTTACCAACAACATAATCAGAAATGTTTACGAAAATTATCAATTCATTGAGTTAGAGGAGGTACATCCAAAGCATTCACTCTGTAGGTAGTCCTGCATAGTAAACCTAGAATGGAAAAAGGAGATCTATTTTTATGTTTTTTAAAGTTAATGACATATATAACCTTATAGTTTTTTGACATACCAACTTGGCTAGGCTGAGCTATAAGGATGGAATGAAGGCAGCAACCTTTTTTTGTATATACACCTCTTGCCTAGTTATTCAATCAAGCACTAATCTAAGTGCTGCTTTGAGGAGATTTTACAGATGTAAGTGAAATCCCTTATTTTGACTGTAAACTAGAGAAATTCATAGGTGAGCCTGACTTTATCAGCAGAACTTCTTTAAAGAAAGGCTTACACAATCCTTAAACAAGGCTCCAGTTAGCAAATGGGTCTGAAATGCTCCAGTTACTCCTGACTGGCAGTGACACTTTGCCCCATGACCATGGGGTTCCAGCCTGCTGGTGATTTCTTTTCCCGACCTTCTTTACCGTAGACCTCACACTTAGCCAGCCCTCACAATTGCTTAAGCTAATTCTTTGTAGTAAATCTATATATGAATCTTTTTATATGTACACTCACCTTATTGGTTCCGCTTCTCTGGTTGAATCTTGAGTGACAATGGACTGATATATTCTTCACTGCTACAACAGTGTTGATAAGCAATCTTGTGGTCCATTGGTAAAGAATTCTCTCAGAAAATATTTGGATACCTCCTCCCAAATTTCCTTCCTCTTTTGGATTTTCATATAAAAACACAAAAGTTTAGCATACCAATAAAAGTATAGTTGATCTGCATTATTTGAGGATTCTGTATTTGCAAATTTGCCTAGTCACTAAAATTTATTTGTAATCCTAAAACCAATATCTGTGGTGCTTTCCTGGTCATCCTTGGACTTGCACTGACCAGGAAAAGTTTGAGTCCTGCCAGTTGAACATTCCGAGCTAAGTTCAAACAAGGAGACTCTGCCTTCTTATTTCAGCTTTCATTCTGTAAGCAAGTGTCTTTTCCATGGTACATTATGTACATTATGCCATGTTTGGGGCATTTTGGGGCTTTTTGTTGGCAGTTTCACTGTTTAAAAAGGCCCTCAACCTTGGTGCTGAAGCACTGTAATATGAATTATGGAGATAATATATCTTTCTTAAGATATGAACTACATATAATACTGTTAGCCAAGAATTCCATGTTAATTTATTAGCAATATATATTAAATAAGATGTCTTTAAACAGAAACACACACAAAACAAGATTATATATTGATCGATTAATGTAAAAAATATTGTGATGTTCACAGGAGACAAACCTGTATTTCCACTATGCTTCAGTTCTTGCTAATAGAGTGTTTGTGCACTGAATATAATGTAACTACCATGAATAATGGAATGTGTAAGACCTGTCATTTTAAAAAGAAAAGAATTTGTGTGCATAAACGCAGTGAAGAATCTGTACTTAAATAAAAATAAAATAGATTACCCAATAGAAAAATGGACAATTTTATGAAGAGCTTATTCATGGCAAAGAAGATTAAAGAGCAAATAAACAGGAAATAATGCTAACTATAATTAATAATGTGGAGAAAGGAACGAAAATAATTAGTTTTTACCCAGGAGATTGGCAAAACATTTATAAATTTGATAATGGCCCCCAAATATTGGATAATCAATGATTTCTTCTAAAGTGGTAGAAAGGAGGAAAAAATGAAATTTTAGAGACTGCTTCTTGTTGGTATAGTCGAGGGACTATCCTGTACATTGGTTAGCAGTTCACTTAAGGCATACAACCCAATAAATATTATTAAATTAATCTTAGGTGATTGCTGGACATATGTCTACTATGATAGTATTTATAGTTTAGATGCATCATTCAGATAGTCATTTTTAGAAACAAAGCTTGGTGTTAATCAACAGGGCAAGTGGGAGTTATTCTCACTGCACACACCTCATCATCTCCATTGTCACCTTGCTATATATCTGGGAGTTACAATACCTCTAAAGAGGTGGGTATGATCTTCAAAGATTCTAATAAAAGGACGTACATGAGATAAGTTTATTTCTCATTAAAGGAGACAGACTGCACTTAAAGTTGTCTATACTGTGGAGAATTCTGAAAGTTACTGCTGCAGCCAGGGAACTCCTCCTCTTGAGGTGTATTTAACAATTATTTCTGGAAGATTCCTGTGGAAACCATTCACAGAACCCAGAGGTGAAAGCAATTTATGTCAAGGAAATTCCTTCTATTTGGGTGCTAAAAATATCTCATCTTAAACCTACTAAATTATACTGTTTGTAATTCATATCCTTACTCTGCTTTGCAATGAATTAATATGTGAGTTGTTGCTGTATTGTGTATTTTGTCGTTGTTCGATATGTTGCCAGAAGGTAGTTGCCAAATATGTAATTTTATAGCAAAGTATCTAAAATATAGTGTTTGCTGCTACAGGTATGGATGCATAGTGAGCATATGGAGTTCATAATATATATTATGAACTATATATATGTATATATATACACACACACATATATGTAATGAATGTATCAAAAAGACCTTATTGTAAGAGTGTAAATGCTGTCTTTTCACGACTTTCGGCTTACAGACATAATTTTCAGTTACTAAGAAATGATTAGGGATGCAGAACTAGAGAATGAGAGGGTTCTCTGAAATACCCTAGTTTAGAAATCAACCCAATTAAAAATTTCTGTAAATGACTCTGACTGGCCTCTGAAGTCTATTTGCAATTCTAATCTTTTCCCTTTTCACCTTAATTTGATTGTGCTAGTAAGGAAAGAAAAGTCAGCTCCTTAGAACTGTCAAAATAGTTTGTAGTTGAAATATGATTATACATATTATAGTTTAAAATAAATCTACTCTTTTGTATTAAAAAAAATCAAGAGAAATGTTTACATAAACTTTCAGCCTCTATTTTCCTGCCTGAAATATAGATTACGATACTTCTAGGAATACCACTTACTGTTGTGATATATGATGATAACATATATGGGCAAAAGTTAATTCAATCCTTCAGAAAAAAAGGCCCAATTTCTTTCATCATTTCTTTTGTCTTCTAGTAAATCTAGATTTGTTTAATTGGTGTTCTTGTTTGTTTTCTTATTTTAAAGAAGATAATTAAGGTTTTCATGATCCTCTGTCTGAAGTCATTTTATAGAACCATCCTTCTTATATTAACTGGCTGAAATAGATTTATGGGCTAAATCTCCCACTCCTGCACTCAATAACAATTTATTGAAAAGAAAATGGGAGCAATTCTGAATGATTTAGAGCAATTAGGATCAGGACCCAAATTTCATATCCACTTTCAGGAAAATGGATACTTGCAAAAATTTGTATTTTGTAGGAACTGGGTGTGGAAGGGGTTGTGAGCCATCTAGTCAAAATAATGTCTGCTATGAAGCCTCAGGACTCTTTTGTGTGCCTCAGTTTTCCCTTACTGCCATAGAATAGTTTGTCCTGCATTAGTAAATATTGCTAAGAGAAAAAAGTATGGCTATCACTATGCTCACATAACCACTCAGAAGTTTCTCACCAACCAACCCAGGCCCAGAAATGACCTGTTGCTAATTCTTCCTCAGAAATATGGATTTCAGTATCTTGCAAGTCTTCCAAAAGGACCTCACCTGTTCCATCTGCATGAACTACTTCATAGACCCCGTCACCATAGACTGTGGGCACAGCTTCTGCAGGCCCTGTTTCTGCCTCAGCTGGCAGGACATTTCGGATCTTGCTTGCTGCTCTGAATGCAAGGGAACAACATCGCAGAGAGACTTTAAAACAAATATTCGTATAAAGAAACTGGTTCTCCTTGTCAGAAAAGCCAGTCTCCGGCAATTCCTCAGCTCTGGGGAAAATATATGTAGGCTACACAAGAAGACAAAGCAGATCTTCTGTGAAGATGACAGGCGCCTGCTCTGTTCTCACTGCTCTAGCTCTCAGGAGCACAAGGCTCACAGACACTGGTCTGTTGAAGGAGCTGCTGAGGAATACCAGGTGAGTGATGCCCCTGAAAATCCACCTCTCTAAGAGGAATATGAAATTCCTGTGGGTCTATTTCCTTGAGCATTGGCTTGTCACTTTCAGAATCTCTGTCCTGGGGTTCCTTAGCCTGAAGCTTCCTAAATGTGACAAATATATGATGTAAGCAAGGTCACCCTATGACCCTTTTGTTTTCAATGGAGCTGATTTACCTCTCATTCTGGGGCCCCTCCTTATACTAGGTCTAAATATTACATTATCCTCTTCACTGGTGCTCCAATTGATTTGTGGTTCTTTTGCAGGAGAAACTCCTGAAGAAAATGCACTCTTTATGGGATAAATATTGTGAAAATGACAGAAACCTGAATGTGGAAACTATCACTGTCAGATCTTGGGAGGTTAGTACTATACTCCTTCGACCTTCAGCATGAACATGGGGTAGACATATGAGTGACTTAAAATAGGAACTTAATCTGAAACCATAATACTCTTTGAGATTCGATAGGGAAGGATGATCACCAGGGAGAGAGTGTTTACCCTATGTATGATAGGAGGGCTCTTAGTCAGGATTTCTAACTAAACTGCAGATATCACCCACAGGCATGCTAGTTTATTCCCAGGAAATACTACTTCTATATAAACAACTGCAGAAAGTGGTCCATTCCACAGAACACCATGTGGAAGGATGGGGTAAATACTGAGCAAAAAAGACATTTGGCAGCCATCAAAAGTTCAGGTGAAGAAAGTACCTGAGTGAGGCAATGTAAGCATTAATATGGATACCGGTGGACAAGTAATGTTTGAAAACAGTTGGAAAATTTTAAGAGAGAGCAGTGTTTCAAATCTAAGGAAACCCTTAAATTAAGTACCTTAAGTAATTAATTTTGAATAATATATGATGAAAAAAATGATAAGAGATGAGGCTTTGTATCTTGACGGACACATGTAAACATCCCAAATACAGAAACTAGTATCTAAATAGAAGTTGTCTGAGTACTTTAAAGGAATTTAAAAATAAGTGATTTTCTCATTCTGGATGGTCATCTTTCTGAAGGTGTGATATCTAATATGAATTCACTCAAGAAACATTTCATGAACACCTAGTCTGTGCCAAATATTGACCTAGAAAATGTAGCTGGAATAAGATAGAAAGCATCCTTGCCCTAACAAAACTTACAATCTAAATCAGAGCAGCAAATTGTCAACACGTAAATAAAATACATGATGCTTTAGAGTGATAAGTTCTTTGGAGAATAATAAAGCAGTAAGGAGGAAAGAACTACAGGAACATAGTGACTGGAGATGAGGGTTTGAGTGTTTAATTGGAGGCATCATTAGAGGAGCCTTCGCTGAAAAACTGCACATTGCAAAAGAGACCTGAAGAGAAAGGCAACCATAAGGGTAGGTACAGGAAGAAAATTCTAGGTGGAGAGAATGGCATGTGGAAAGGTATTGCAGGCAGATATATTTGGGGCATTCGAGAAACCATAAAGATCTGTGATGACAGGGGAGGACGGGAATCAGTGAATTAGGAGAATGAAAGGAATTAAGGTCGAAGAGATAATGGGGTCAGATCGTAAATGAAACCTTATTAGGACAGGATTTAGCTGGATGAAATGCATCTCAGTCTGAGGTCACAACATACATAATAGGTTTAAGTAACTTGCCCCAAATCTCAGAAACAGGGCTAAATAATGGATTATAATCCAGTCAATATAAATCTAAAGTTAAGGTTACAGCAGAGCACAGCAGCTCCCCAGGTCTCTTGCTCCTTCACTTGTGCAAAGTCTTCAAGAATCTCTTAAGCATGAACTGTGTTGCTTTTTCACACATATGGGCTGGAAGAAAGAAATCACAAATTTGATTTTAAGATTGTCTTATCAAACACTTTATTATGAATAAAGTAGATGCAATTGCTTGAATAAAAATATTTTAACCTTAATGCAGAAAAGAGGAAAGAAAGAAAATTTTGTGGCTTGTGAAAATTGGTGAGACTGAGGGTTATAAGTTAAATATAATTGATCTTCATGAGGCAAAGAAGAATCAGTGGACTTAATAGGAAATAGATAAAAGGGTTCATGTTTTAAGTAACTCAATATCATTGCAGAATTATGTGAATTTGAGGAGAGAAACAATCAGTGCTGAGTATGAGAAGATGGTTCCATTTTTCCATGAGGAGAAGCAACATCATTTAGAGAGGCTGCAAAAGGAGGGCAAGGAGATTTTTCAGCAACTCAAGGAAAGTAAAGCCAGGATGACTCGCAAGAGGGAGCTTTTGAGAGGAATGTATGAAGAACTGAAGGATATGTGCCATAAACCAGATGTTGAGCTGCTCCTGGTAAGAACTGAGACGTGGGGTATCAGGATGTTGGACACCCATGTGCACTGGTATTCCTTCAACTGAAATACACCTCCCCTTTTACATCATTTGTTTCCAAAAACCTATTTCCATAAATTCAATTACTTTGTTGGGAGTCTCTACCAGGGACTCTATGGACCAAAGATCTCTCCTACATTATCTATGAGAAATGAAACTTTGTGGAATGGTTAAGATCCCTGAGTTATACTTTCTAGCTAAAAGTCAATGATATATTTGGCTTTGTGAAAATTCACAAAATAGTAGGTTGTTTACTGACATTTAGGTTAATTCGTGTATATAGCAATATGGGGAGAATTGGGAATCTAGACTGGCATTACTTTCATTTTTGGGTCTACCCACTTTGGAAATAGGGAAGATTCTGGATGCTTAATCAAGATTCAGCAGAGCACAGCAACTCCTCAGGTCTCTTGCTCCTTTACTTGCACAAAGTCTTCAAGAATCAGTCTCTACCAGGACATTAATTCATGACAATATGGTAGACTAGGTTTTTTGTTTGTTTGAGAAGAAATAGCTAATGCTTCCTTGGAAGAAATACAGTTGGAAAGTAACTTCTAGAACTGTCTCAAAATCTCACACCAGACTTAGTGGAAGAGTCATTTGCAAAAAAGCACTAAACCTTTCTATTTTTCTCCTCACAGGATTTTGGAGACATATTGCACAGGTGAGTGTCTACCTTCATACTATCTGATGCTCTTTCAACATCCACAGATAGCAGGCAGAATCTGCTAAAGTGTAGGCATAACTTATTATGATCTTGATTCACTTTTTTCCTGGGTCTATTTTCTCCTCCCTCACTCCATGTAGACATCCTTTTTTGTTGCCATACTCTAGATTTATATGGCAGTTTAAAAGGAAAAGTTGCAAAACAAATTAATTTTTAAAACCCTTCCCAATTTCCTTTTAAGTTCTCAAAAGCCTACGTATACAAATGAGGAGGTGTTGCGTTTTCTGTGTGATGAGAACGTCGAATACTTCAGTGGTGCCACCAGTAGGATCAGGATAAGTGGGGAGAGGAGGTATCCCAGTAGCAAGAATCCCTAGTCATGTGTTGCTCCTGGATAGAGCAGTTGACCGTTATAAAAAATAGATAAAACAGATCCTCTGGGTATGAGAATGTAAAGTCCCAAGGGCAGCTTGGCTCCAGGTAGCCTCTCTCTTGAGACGTATGCAACAAGCCCTCTCTCTTGAGACGTATGCAAAAAATAGATAAAACAGATCCTCTGGGTATGAGAATGTGAAGTCCCAAGGGCAGCTTGGCTCCAGGTAGCCCCTCTCTTGAGACATATGCAACAAGTTCCTCAGAGGACTCCAGCATTTCCAGACAGGGAGCATTTCAGTGGAGTCTGGTGAGGACTGGAATCCAGAATTTCATTCCTGAATATTCTCAAGGGCATAAGAGACCAAGGATCTTCAGGAAGTCCTGGGCAAGAAAATTCTGACTCGGACTTATCCATTATACTTGAAAATTCAGAAACTGAAAATAAGAATTATTTGACAAAGTAATAATTTTTGATTTCTGAATTTATGGATTGAAAAAATTCTGTTAAAGTGTCTTCTAAATAAGAAGTTTTGTCTGTTTGTTTTAACTATAGATATGATAACTTCATCTTTCTTCTTGCAGGAGTGAAACAGTGGAGCTGCACATGCCCCAACCTATGAATCCAGAGCTCAGCACGGGGCCCATCCCTGGACTGATTAAAAGGCTCAACTGCTTCAAAGGTAAGGGCAGACCCTGCAGCCAGATTTCCATAAGCTATCATGTGTTGTTAGGATCATACAGGTAACCTTTCCTCCTTTATTAAGTGTGTTGCTTATTTTCATACATTAGTGGATTACATGACTGACCTTTTTTAACTGAACATGTCTTTACAGTCACATTTACAATATGAAGAATGAAAGGTAGTAAAAAACAGAAATATAATCCAGGCTCATAATTAACGAATTACCTAACAGGTAAAAAAAATGATGCTGGAAATGAAAATGTTAATAAATCAAGCAATGCTCAGATTTAAGGTTAATTATTCAATGCTACATACAAAGTTGTATATTTATTCAGTATATATAATTTTGAAATGTGAAGAGCAGTTTTTTGGCAATATATAGTTTACTGGAACTTCTTGGGGTTTTTTGTATTTTTTTACAAGGCCATGTTTCTATAATGTAAACATTTGAATTGATATATAAAAGTTGAAAGAAGAAATATTTTTATAGACAATAACTAAAATTGAAAACAAAAAACAGTTTACTCATAATCTAAAGAATTACATGTTAAATCTCAAAAATCTGGGCAGCCCAGAATGAGGACAGAGGAGACTGGTGAAGGGTTTTGTGAAAAATCATTTTAAGAAACCACTTCTAAAATGGACATCTATAAATTTCTATTCAGTTATCTAGAAAGGTGATTGAATAATTGGCAGATCTTCACATCCCTTCCAAAATGAGGATGTAATGATTTAGAAACAAGAAATATTCTGATTCTGATTTTTGATAACTGAAGAGTGTTCACGGCGTATTATTCACTGGCCAATTTGCTGTGAAAAGCGAACTCAGATGTCTTCTATTTGACTCTCAGCATTTCAATTGTCAAAATATGTTCAATGTCTGTGATTAGAGATTTGTCTGTTCTGCAGATGTATTGGTCATCTCTATACTTTATTAGAGGTGACAACCAAAATTGTCCTTGCTGTTTTGACTTCATTGTTTACAATAAAGTAATATCTTAAAAGAACCACTTTTCCCTCAGGACTTTAAATTCTCTTTATTTACATATGTGCTTACATACATTTTTTTTTCTTTTTGCAGTAAATATTACTTTGGATTGTGACAGAACTAATAGTCATGTCTTTGTGTATGGAGATTTGAGAAGCATAAGTGTTGGATGTGATCCTCAAGAAGCACCGTGTATCGCTCCAAGATCTGAATGTTTTCTTGCATGGGGTGCTCAGACTTTTACCTCTGGTAGATATTATTGGGAGATAGAAGTAGAAGACTCTTGGAATTGGGCTTTTGGAGTCTGTAATGATTATTGGAAAAAGAATAACAGGAATGTCCAGATAGATGAGGAGAAGGGACTCTTTCTTCTAGGGTGTGCTAAGGAAGGCATTCACTACAATGTCTTTACCACCTCCCCACTATTATTGCAATATGTGCCAAGGCCTATTGGCCGAATAGGAGTATTTCTGGATTATGAGGGTAGAACTGTGAGCTTTGTAGATGTTGCTCAAAGTTCCCTTATATGTAGCATCCCTTCTTGCTCCTTTTCTCCCTGTCTCAGGCCTATCTTTTGCTGTAGTCACTTCCATCCAGAGACAAATTGAGTATCTGTTCATATGCCAGGAAACTTCAATATCTAAGAAAGTCCTTTTCCTTGTGCCTTGTCAAATAAGACAAGTATGTTATATTTTATTTTTAGTTTCCTTTTATGTCATGAATATCCATTTACTGTGCTTATTAAATATGGTGATAATATTAAAAACATATATCAATTTGTCCTTTATTCATTTTGGGAAAATCATCACCCATGATGCATGGCATACAATATGTTCTCTGGTTATTGCTTTTTCTGAAATGTCCTCAGGAAGTAAAATAATAGATGACAGGAGTGTCTGAAAAAGGTAAAATTCAATGCAAGTGAGGGAGCAGGCATCCTCTTCTCAAAAAACATGGCTGTAAAGACCCACTGGCAATCTAGAAATAATTTTCTACTATCTCTTCATCTACCTATCTAGCATGTTTTAGTTTAATAATCTAATTTGGAGTAATCTTATTTGAAAACATAAACTGTGCATTTCTTTGTAATTCTTATCACATTTACACATATGCAAGCATTATCAGTATCCTTAACTAGACTGGAAATCACAAGATGATCAGGCCAGTACTCTCATTTTCCTTGGCAGCTCTATCTAGAGCTACTTATTCATACCTTATACTTTCTATGTATTACATACATGATATTATACCATAATCCTCCATATCTCAATATCACTCCCCTAGTTTCCCTCTGTCTGTGAAGCCCTCTGTGTCATATCTATCATCCAATTCATCCTTTCTTCAGCTGTGATTAATCTGCTCATTAAACTCTTCACCAACTATCTAGTCTTAATTATCACATTTTTTATTTATAGAAATTCTATTTTTCTTCAATATGATGGGCACATTCTACCCAATTTGTTTAAGTGTTTGAAAATTCAAATTGAAAATAAGGTTGTCTTTTTGTAACTTTAACATTGATTCCTTCAACATTTTATAACATGAAATAGATCATTTTAATATAGTGAAATATATGTAATGGATTGTTAATTACAGCAATAATGTAAAAAATAACTTTTTATATTAAGTAAAAATTATTATTCATTACCCATTTCATGGAATATATGTTGTGGCTATTCCCTTACTTTTAAATACCATAGGTGTATATAAATTCAAAAGCCTTTAGTATATTCCAATTTTGTATAGCTAATGGTGATTTTCATAGGGTTCTGGTGATTTTTTGTTTTCCTTTAGGATTTCATATATTTTTAATATAATGAACAAAACTATTTCTGCTTATATAGAAAACATAAAAACAGTATACACTAAATGCTCTTACTCAGTGAATAATTCATTTTTTGGTCAATTCTTTATGTCAAAGTAATGTTTTCTTTTTAGTCCCATCAGATCTCAAAAAAAGAAAAAATAAGGTAATTTTATTGTACAAAAACTGGATCTGTGCTAATCAGCATTATTTTTAATTGAAAGTTGATTTTTATACTATCTGTAAACACAAGACTTAGCTTTCAGAGCTGTCCCCAGCCATAGACAGCTTTTTAGTAACTGAGGCCTCTTCCAATAATCTTGTCAACCTCTGGCTAGGGCAATGGAACCCTTAGCTACCAACCAGTAGCAGATGACAATGATAAGACAGAGCCAGAAACTCAGGTCAACTGCTGGAGAATTTATTGTATTTCTTTTGCAGCAGGAGTCAAATTTCCAACCCACCCAAGGACAGGAGTTTGAGGTACCCATTTGTTTGCTCCTGGCTCCTCCCCTCTGCAGCTTCCAGTAAAGGAACCTGGATTTCACTTCTCAGTAGAGCTGTTAGTAGAGCTGTGTATAGGGAGTAAGGATTACATTGTAGACAATCTGGTTGAAATTCCATCACCCCTCTGGTCCGCCCTACTACCCTCACCTCCACCCTCAGCCATCACCACCACCAAGGGCTTTGGTCTTTTTTCAAAACCTACATCCAGGGATGCATCCTCCACCACTGCTGGCTGTGGCTGCAGCGTCCCGCCTGCTGAGCTCTTCTAGTCTCTATAACTACACCTCTAGAGTGTCAATTTTTATAAGGACACTTCTCATTTGTCCTGGAGCATACACAAGGCAAATGCCTCAGATGGTGCTATCTTGGCTCCTGGTCCTGGGGAGTTACAGGAACCCTGTAACTGTGCCTCCTTCCCTATGTCTGAGCTGTGCCCACCTCACCACACTTCTCAGTCAGTGGATGGTTTAGGAGACCTGTTCAGAGTCCCCCAGCCAGCCAGCCAGAGCAGCACCATCCCAATCTGTATCAGGACAGTTCAGTGGTAACTACCAAAATCACATCCAAATATCCTTAACTCAGCAGTATCATATCAGGCAATGTTTTCAATAGAATTTTTCACAAAGATATATGCAAAAGGATGTATTTTTTAGCATTATCAGTAGCTGAATAAAGAGAAAGCAACTTAAGTGTTCTGAAATATGAGGCATCATTTAATAAAATATACTACATTATTAAACTGATATGTAAGTGACAATATTTTGTAATTACTGGTTTATTCCATGATATTGTATATGTTTTTAACTAATGGATTTTATTAATATTCTAATACAAAGGTTTCTACAAGAAAAAATACTGTAAGACAATTCATAGTACCGAATGATATCGAATTAAAAATAAAAACTCACAGATGTTAGTCAAGTTCACAGTGATCTTAGAGGCCAACATTTCAATTTATTACCAATATAATCAGATATGTTTACTATAATAATCAATTCGTTGAGTTAGAGAAGGTATACCCAGGATACTCACTCTGTACATGGTCCTACATGGTAAACCTAGAATAGAATTGTATTTAAATATAATGACATAAACTCATGATGGTTTTTTGACTGACAACATAGTTAGGCAGTACTACCAGGATGAAAATGACATGGCAGCCATTTCATAGCATATACACACCTTCTCCCTGTTATTTATATAATTTAAGTGCTACTATGTAGAGATTTTTCTAATGTAAGTAAAATCTGTTATCTTAATTTTAAACTACAGAGCACAAACTAGCTTATCTTGAATACAGGAAATCAAAGTTATAAAATGAAATCACTCAAATGTCATCATTCTTAGAAACACTTTATGAATATTTTAGAAAAAGATATATTGTATTAATTCACCTGTGTTTCAATACTTCACTGAGGAAAGGATGGTGCTAGAAAAAATGGTTAAGAATTGGAAAATAAGGTTCTTGGACCTGCGTTCCACAATAAAGGAACTAAATGAGAGTGCATCTGGAATTCAAGATCTTTTTTAAAAAGCATGGTCGTAAATATCCAGTTGGAATGGATATGTAGTATAGAGATATTTTGAGAGATTTAAAGGCCAGGTCATAATTCCCACTCCTTCCAAACCTCTGCATTTCGAAGCTGATCGTTTGGTGGGAAATACATCAGGAAAGGAAAGTATCCAGATTTAAGTATCAAGTTGTGACAGAGTGTGGAGTTACTCCTTTAAAAAAATTTTATAATCTTTCCATTGTTGTTGCATCATTTCTGTATTGTTTCAATGCAAGCTGTTAACAAAGTTGACCCAGAAGTGTCTGAGCTGGGCCCTTTCTCTTCAGAGCTGGGTAGGGAGTACCAGGCATAGACTCTCCTGTCCTACTGTCACTGGGAGGCCTTTGGAGTTTTGATCTATTGCGTGAGTGGCAGGAGAAATCTATTCTGTAGTGGTGGCGAAAGGTGTTCTTACATTAAAGTTTTATCTTAAAATGGCAAAAGTCAATCAATCAATAAAAGTAAGAACTTCCTCCATGAAAGAACATATGTACACAAACCTCAGGAAACATGTGTCCAAGTTTTCAAAGACATTAGCTAAAATCACTTTTTACCTTTTTGTAAGTTATAAATGAAAGTCATCGATGTCCATACACACACGCACACACACACACACACACACACACACACACACACCCTAATCACTATACTAATAGTCTCTATAGGGCACACCTCCTCACACTGATGACGTTTTCTCAGGCCAGTGAAAAATCAATGGAGTTTAAACTCAACTTGTGTAATTTAATCAGTTTTTGAAATCAGGCTGCAAATTCTGAAAATTTAAATTTTTGAATTTATATCTTAACTCTTCTAGCAAAACTCCCTTTCAAATAAGATAATAATACCACCCATTTATTAATTTATTCCTTCAAAGATTTGTTAAGTATCTCTGATGTCCTAGCCAACTAACTGAGAACACAGCAGTAAATACTAGGGACACTTCCTTTATCTCTTGTCATTTATACTGTTGCAAAAAAAAAAAGGGCCAAGTAGTCTGGATACTTTAAAACAAAAGCTTGTCCTTGTCCTGAGGGTCAGTGGAGAATTCCAGGGCAAAATTTTGCATTTCACACTATCTTCATATTAAATACAGCCAGAGGGAAATACAGTCTCATACTTACCATCCAAAAGACAGATATTCTGAGGTCTTTATTGAGATTTCTTTGGATTTCTTGGATTTTTTTTTCCCATAAGGATCTCATCTGGTTTGAGAGCTTTGCCTGTAAAAGAACTGTGAATTTTAGGACTAGAAAATAGATTTAGGTTTCACACCCCAAATGTTGGAAAGAATTAAGGGATAATATATATAATTACTTTGGGCAGCGTGGAAGAATCATCACATTAACATATTCACCCTCACTAATGATCAGTTTTAGGAGATTTCAGACTGTAGTACCACAATGCAATTTGGTTCCCTAGACAAATGACTTGGTTCACAATAAGGGTTCTACTTAGCATGGCCGCTTCTCAGATAAGGAGGCATATTGCATCAGAATTTGGAACTAGTGATATTTGTCCCCTGCTAACTCTAGTGTCATTTATTTTACTTTTTTGTTCAATGTTAGCAAATATGTACCCCATGGAAAATCCTTTCTGCATCTGTAGTTTTTACACCAGAGACTCTTTCTCAAAGTGAAGGCTTTATAATGCCTTGAGCATAATGCTATATCATCAAAATAACGATGACCATTAACTAAATTACTCTCCCATTAGATGCAGGTATACTAGTATGTTTTCCTCACAG